TAGAAAGTCGCTGAGTTAGTGACCGCTGAACCATCGCTCCTGGGGGAGGTATACATACACACACACACACATATACACACACACACACACACATATCTTAGCAGTTCAAAATGCAAATATAAAGAGCAACCTGAATTTATATTCAATAGAGCATTTACAGCCTGCCTTGCACTCCCGGGAAGAACTATGTCTCTGACACATAATCAAGAATTATAAATGAGTGTTGTGCCAATTAAATGTGGGCCTCATGGCAAACACTGGAGATGCAAGAGTGTCTTCCTTCACCTTAATGGAGTAGATGCAGTTACCAAATTTACATTTTTCTCCAAGTTTATAAATCATTGTTCTCATATTTTAACTGCACTCCTATTATTTCACTACCAAGTAATTTCTGAAATATTTTAGAAACAATCTTATTTTTGAAATGTATTGATTCTTCTACGCAATACTGACCAGATACCTGCTGCTGTATGCCAGATGTTGGCCTGGAGGCCAATGCTGGCCTGGCAGTCAGAGGACACATTATCTAACGTCAAGGCAGAAAATACAGTATATGCCATCACTCACTGATCTAGTAATATGAATGAATTTTTCTGGAACCAATCATCTGAGTGGCACTTTAGACTAGAATACTTTTTTTTTTAAAGATTTTTGTTTTAATTTGACAGAGAGAGACAGCAAGAGAGGGAAAACAAGCAGGGGGAGTGGGAGAGGGAGAAGCAGGCTTCCCGCCGAGCAGGGAGCCCGATACGGGGCTCGATGCCAGGATCCTGGGACCATGACCTGAGCCGAAGGCAGACGCTTAACCGACTGAGCCACCCAGGCGCCCCTAGAATACTTATTTTGATTTTAGGGACAGGGGCAGGAAGAAGAAGTTTAGTGCTCACAAGCCCTGAAGGGTAAAGCCACACAGATGGCAAAGCTGTCATGAAACATCAGAGCGCAGGTGGCATGGGAAAGCAGAGCTGGTAAAAGCAAAGAAGAGAGCCCAAAGGAGCATGAGAGGATGCAAGCAAACCCAATTCACTCCCTCCACAATGTCCCAAGGCCTGGCTTTTGCAAAACATCTCTTTCATCTAAAAAAGCAAGAAAAATACTTTATAGCAACCAATATTTGTTTTGAAGACCAGTGGAATCTGATTGGTTTTCACGCCTCCACAACTATGCCCCCGTCCACACTGGTGATGGGAACAAGCCAGTAAGATCCAAATTTGGCTTCAGCTGAGTTTCTGTCATTTTCATTGAGACAAACTAGGACAGAGTGGGGATTAAAGAAGCTGCAAAGCCCCCTGTAAATCCATATCGTATTAGGGATTTTTTAAAAATGGGAGTTTTTATATTAAGTAAATGTGCTACACATTATTTGAGCACCTACTAGACGAGCACTTTCCATAAATTCCCATTTAATGACCATGAGCTCCCTGAAAGATTAAACACTATCAATATTTTACATGTAAGAAACCTGACATTCAGTGAAGTCAAGGTCACACAACCAGAGAATAATATAATTGGAGGCCAAAGTCATATTTGACTTCTAAATGTATTCCTTTGCAACACAATAACAGTAAAATAGGAAAGAGTTAAAGATATGTAATTTTACCATTGCAGCGTGGTGGCTAGCATGAATATAATGCTCAAGTTTTAAATGAAAAATGCAAATTTAAGTAGCACTACGTTTGCTCAGCATCACACTCTGAAAATACATGTGACAGGCAGTGCTTCTCATCACATACAATATTAGAAATCAAATTTTGAACTTCATTTGTATTTTAAAGATAGCAACTGATAGTATACGTCTTTCTGGATAATGTATAATTTCAGAGTAGCAGAATGTTAAATATAAAAAACAATTTCTATCTTGTTTAAATATAGGCCTAACATAAGAACCTTATTGTGCACGCAGTAAACATTTTGTTTTGACACTGAACAGAAGTTTATGGGAAAAAAAAATTTAAAGTCTTAGCAAAGCTGACTAAAAGTTGTTTGCAATTGTTTGGACGAGGCTTTCTTGTGCTAGTGTCATAACAGATTTCATACTAGTGAAAGAACGTCCGAACTGCAAATTTGCAGAAATGAATCTTAGCTGTAATTTGCAATTGTGTTGAACTGAATGAATACAATCACTTTTCAGCAAGTAAAAGACGACTTTCAGCTGCTATTGAAAAAATACAAGGTAATTGTTGGCTACATCACAATTGATCATTGCTACCTATTTTCGGGAGCTACTATATTATCAAGGGTCGTGGATAATAAGAGAGAATTTCAGACTACTCTATCATGAATGTTCAGAGTAGAGACTAAATTTACTAAAATGACAAGAAACCACCTTAAACATGGATTCTCAATATTTGGTTTTGTAATGTGGAATAAATAGCTAAAGCACCCTGGTGAGGGCACTGAACCATGTCCATGTAATATTCTGTACCATCTAAAGCCTTGATAGTGTAAGTAAATGCTATATGAAAATATTCTTTAATTTTTTTAATTTTTAATTTTTTACCTGAGATATAATGGACATATAACATTGTGTTAGTTTTAGATGTAAAAATATTCTCATTGTTTAATGTTTAGTGATCATTTTAGGCCAACATGCTATGATCGACATATTAAATTATTTCAGTCCAATTTTTGCTCATACATTTAAATGACTAATAATTTTTTTTAAAGATTTTATTTATTTATTTGACAGAGAGAGAGAGAGAGAAACAGTGAGAGAGGGAACACAAGTGGGGGTAGTGGGAGAGGGAAAAGCAGGCTCCCTGCTGAGCGGGGAGCCCGATGTGGGACTTGATCCTAGGACCCTGGGATCATGACCTGAGCCAAAGGCAGACGCTTAATGACTGAGCCACCCAGGCGCCCCTTAAATGACTAATAATTCAATAAATGATCCTTGTCACTGCCTTTCTCTTTTGTACTTCTGTCAACTCTTTGGACAAAGGTAAGATATTCAACTATTCGAGTTCACCCCACCCCTTTCTTTGGTCACAAATAAATGTCATCAATAATTGTAAGAATTTCTAAAGACCTTTTCCTTGGAGATGTAACCATGTTTGTTGCTCAAAAGTAAGAGTTCATAAGAGATAATTATCAAATCTTATACTTAGGTTAATAAAATCAACTGTACTAATTAACAATTAGATAAAAGTTGTTTAAAAATATTTAGGGGGGGCGCCTAGGTAGCTCAGTCAGTTAAGCATCCAACTCTTGATTTTGGCTCAGGTCATGATCTCAGGGTTGTGAGATCAAGCCCCGCATCCAGCTCCCTGTCCATGCTCAGCTGGGAGTCTGCTTGGATTCTCTCTATCCCTCTCCCTCCGCCCATCTCTCCACTCATGCTCTCTCTTTCCCTCTCTCTCAAATAAATAAATAAATAAATAAATAAATAAATAAAATCTTCAAAAAATATATTTAGGGATTGTCTTTTCTACAATATGTTGGTAGAGATGTTCAGAAAATCCTCTCTCAACTGAAAATTTTAAGTTAAACACACATACAAGCTAAGAAAGCAGAGATCCACTGTATTGAGTCATCACTGGAGATGACATTTGTTCTGGGATATGGGCTACTCTGTGATGGCCTGGAGTCTTGGATCTTGGGGTCATAAATGGCAATCAGGGAACAAAACTGTCAGCTAAACAGCCCATACTTACATGGCTTGGAGTCCAGATTTCACATTGTATTTTTGGACTACCAGGCCCCAAATTAATTATTTAGCTTCTCAGCTCTTCACCTCATCACAGAAAGGGAGCCAGGAGGTATCCCTACAAGATTAAATAGTCTCCTGTTTGTCATTAAATTTGCTTTTTAAAATATTGTAATCCTGATATTCACAGGCTGGAGAGCACTGAGCTGGTCAATGTGATATCCAAAAGGAACTCAGAACAGTTATGCTAGAGACACATGTGCTCTATGTAGATTATTAAAGAACTGGAGTGAATTATTAAAAAAAAATGATATGTGTGTTACATAAAGTTGTATAAACTTAATCTTACATGTACAAGTTCATTTTCTTACACTATATTAGGAATCAGTTGCTCTATATTGTAAACATGTATGATTATAGTCACTTCTAAATTATATTCATGAAACATGTTATTGCAATCAAAATAAATTTAAGGATTATTGTTACTAAAGTATATGCTAACCATTAAAACCTCATCATTTTCACCTAAACATTAGTCTTGTATAAGAACTCAAGCTTCTACCTAAGACAACTAGAAATTTAGTTGTGTATTTCACTACTACAAATAAGCAACAGATTGTTACTACATCTCTATATTTTGCTACATACTAATCCTATAATAATGGACAGTAATATTAGCTTTATGCGAGGTCAGTATCTGGTTATTAGGGAGAGAATTAAGCCATCCTGTTTCAGTGCATTCAGTCATTAACATAGGGTTTCTGTAATACCTTCATAGGCAGTATTTTTGTTTGCTTGGTTTTGTCTGTCTCTGTCTGTCTGTTTTCCTCTAAGGTCACATGTTTTCATATTTAGGTTGACTGATTCAATATTTTTCTGTTTCTGATATTAGTTCACAAAAAAAGACAATTTTCAAATCAAGATTAAATGGGTTTTCCCTCTTTTTTTAAGATTTCTTGTTTATTTATTTATTTGAGAGAGAGACCACATGAGCAGGGGAGGAGCAGAGGGAGGAGCAGAGGGAGAGGGACAGACTCCCTGCTGAGTGAGGAGCCGGACTTGGGGCTCAATCCCACAACCCTGAGATCATGGCCTAAGCCAAAATCAAGAGTCAGTTGCTTAGGACTCCTGGGTGGCTCAGTCGTTAAGCGTCTGCCTTCAGCTCAGGTCATGATCCCACGGTCCTGGGATCGAGTCCCACATCGGGCTCTTTGCTCAGTGAGGAGCCTGCTTCTCCCTCTCCCTCTGCTGCTCCCCCTGCTTGTGCTCTCTCTCTCTCTGACAAATAAATAAAAATCTTTAAAAAAAAAAAAAAGAGTCAGTTGCTTAGCCGACTGAGCCACCTAGGGACCCCCAAGCCCCCAAACTTCCCCTATTTAATAAATCTTTCCTCCTGATAGCTTTTTTAATTTTTAAATTTAATTTTTAGTGATTTTTTTTAGTTTTTGTCAGTTTCTTATATTAAGATTTTATTTTAATTCCAGTACAGTTAACATTCAGTGTTCTATTAATTTCAGGTATACAATATAGTGATTCAACAATCCTATACATTACTCAGTGCTCATCATAAGTGTACTCTTTAATCCCCATCACTATTTCACCCATCCCCCAAGGCCCACCTCCTTTCTTGTAACCATCAGTTTGTTCCCTATAGTTAAGAGTCTGTTTCTTGGTTTGCCTCTCTTTATTTTTTTTCCCCTTTGCTCGTTTGCTTTGTTTTCTAAATTCCATATATGAGGGAAATCATATGGTATTTGTCTTTCTCTGACTTATTTCACTTAGCATGATGCTATCTAGCCCCATCCATGTTATTGCAAATGTAAGATTTCATTCTTTTTTATACTTGAATAATATTATTATATTATATATTATATATAACATATATCATATATATAATATAACCTATATATCATATAACCTATATATTATATATGCCACTATTATATATATATATAATATATATGTCATATATATATGCCAATACATATATTATATATATATATATATGCCACTTCTTAATCCATTCGTCTATCAACGGACACTGGGCTGCTTTCCTAATTTGCCTATTGTAAATAATGCTCCTATAAACATAGTAGTGCATGTGTTCCTTTGAATTAATGTTTTTCTATTCTTTGGGTAAACACCCAGTAGTGCCATTACTGGATCATAGGGTAGTTCTGTTTTTAACTTTCTGAGGAACCTCCATACTGTTTTCCACAGTGGCTACACCAGTTTGTATTCCCACATCCTCACCAACACTTGCTGTTTCTTGTGTTTTTGATTTTAGGCATTCTGACAGGTATGAGGTAATATGGATTGTAGTTTTGATTTGCATTTCCCTGATGATGAGTGAGGGCGAGTATCTTTTCATGTGTCTGTTGATCATCTGGATGTCTTCATTGGAGAAATATCTGTTCATGTCTTCTGCCCATTTTTCAAGTGGATTATTTATTTTTTTTGGATATTGACTATTGTTAGTTCTTCTATATTCTGGATACTCTCCCTTAATTAGCTATGTCCTTTGCAAATATCTTATCCCATTTCATAGGGTGCCTTTTAGTTTTGTTGATTGTTTTCTTTGCTGTACAGAAACTTTTTACTTTGATGT